TGGGGAGGGCGAAGGGGTACGGATAGGCGGCCAAGAGCCGGGGGGGGGCGTAGGGCAGCGTAAATGTGGGGCCCGGAGGGGCTGGGGGAGGGGGGGGCCTCGGGGGAGGGGGGGAGCCGAGTTTGGGACCCCCGCCGAGCTCCTCCGCAGCCCCCGCCCGCGCCAGGAGAGCCAAGGGGTGTTCCTGGGGGGGGTAGGGAGGCCCCAGGGGGACGACGGCGTCGCCCGTGGTGTCGCCCGGCACGGTGACGCCGTCGTCACCCGGCGCCGTGCCGTCAACGTGAGCCGGCGGTGCGGCGCTGCTGTCGGCCCACACGGGGGTGGCGGCGGCGGGCGCCGTTTTGTCACCGTGCCTCGCCGTCGTCGTTTTGTCACCGTGAGCCGGAGCGACGGCGCTGCCAGGACCCGGCGCTGCGGTGTCGCCAAGGCCCGGCACGGCTTTGTCACCGCGACACGGGGCTGTTTTGTCACCGCCATCTGCGCGACCGGGACCCGGCGTCACGGCGCTGCCGACGCTCGGCGTGCCTTTGTCACCGGGACCCGGTGCCGCTTTGTCACCGGGACTCAGCGCGGCTCTGTCACCAACGCCGGGTGCCGCTTTGTCACCGGGACCCAGCGCGGCTTTCTCACCGCAGCCAGCCGTCATCGCGGTGTCACCGTGCCCAGCGCTGCCGTCACCCGGTGTCGTGACGCCGCCACGGCCCGGTGCCGCGCCGCCACCCGCAGACAGGCCGTCACGGCCGCCTGTCTCGCCCTCCTCCTCCCCGGCAGCGCTGTAGGCGACGACGCCGGCAGGTGACCCCGCGCCGCTCGTTGTCCCCCGGTGCCGCCGGTTGTGCCGGCTCAGCGCGGCGGCGGTTTTGCACACCTTGGCGCACTGCTCGCAGGCGAAGCGCAGCGACGGCCGCCGACCCACCCGCGCCGTCACCCCGCCGCCGCCTGTCGCCGCCGCCTGTAGTCCCCCCACGGCCGCCTGTCCCCCTTCGTGGCCCCGCTCGTGCTTCCGCAGCTTCCTCAGCGCCGAGAACGGCTTCCCGCACACCCCACAGCTGTACTTCCACTCCGTGCCCCCCGGGCTGCCCCGCGACCCCCGCATCCCCCCCTCCTCGCCGTCAGCCGCCCCCCAACGCAGCGCCCGCAGCGGCCGCCGCCACCTGGATTTCCGCCCTTTGGTGGCGGTGTTGCTCCCGCCGCCCTTCCTCTTGGGCTTGTAGCTGTAGTACGGCCTCCACAGCCGGTCCTCGCCGTCGCTGTCCTCCTCCGCGCTGTCGCGGGGCCGCGAGGCGGGTGAGCCCGCGGCGCTGGCGGTGGCGGTGGCGGCGGTGCCGCCGTCCGGCTGCAGGCGGAGGTCGGTCTCGGAGATGCGCCGCTTGACGATGGCCTCCTCGCCGATGCGGACGGTGATTTGGCACAGCGGCGCGGCGCGGCTCTCGCTGCTCGTCCCCACGTAGGCCGGTTTGGCCACGTAGGTCATGGTGCGCCCTGGGGCCGTGGTGACGCCGGCCGTCGGCGTCGCCGTGCCGGGGTTGGTGGGCACGGCCGCGGCCGCCGCGCGCTGCGCCTCGAAGTAGTCGCGCAGCACCTGCTTCTTCATCGGCTTCACCGGCGGCGAGGCGGGCGGCGAGCTGGGCTGTGCGGCCATGCCGTTGTACGCGATGACGGAGGCGGTGGTGGCAGCGGCGGCGGTGGTGGCGGTGCCGCTGTGCACGATGACGGAGGCCGAGGGCCGCCCGTAGGTGATGACCGATGCCGGCTCTGCCGGGCGCGGGGTGACGAAGGCGGCCGGTTGTTGGAGGCCGTCGGCCGCCAGGCTCTGGCTGTAGGTCTTGTAAGGCCGCTTGTGCGCCCGCATGGGCAACAGGCGGTAGAGCTTGAGCGCGTTGAGCTTGGGCCGGTAGCCGCCGTTGGGGGTCTTCTCGGAGGCGATGAGGCCGGGGCTGATGCCGTGCAGCGCCTTCTGGTGTGCCTTCAGGCTGTAGTAGGTGACGAAGGTGTCCCAGCAGAAGACGCACTGGTAGCGGCGCTCGCCGGTGTGCCACACCTCGTGCTTGGTGCGGTACTCGGCCAGGGCAAACACCTTGTCGCAGTAGCGGCACGGGTACTGCCGCCGCCATGAGTGCACGTTGGCGTGGCGCTTCAGGCTGGACAGGGTGACGTAGGAGCGCTGGCAGACGGCACACAGGTACACCGTGCGCCGGTTGTCCGCCGCCGTGCTGCCGGCCGCCGGCTCCCCACGCTCCGGCTCGGCCACCTCCAGCGCGCGGTGTCGAAGCAGCAGCGCCTTCTTGCTCGGCGGCTGCGGCGGCGGTTGCGGCGGTGTCGGCGGTGCAGCCGTGGCCGCGCCGGCCGTGGCGGCGTTGTCGGCGCCCTCCTTCTCGCACAACACCTCGTGCGTCTGCAGCCGCTTGACATGGATGAAGCTCTTCCCGCAGTGGCGGCACGCCAACCCCCGCCGCGCGCGGTGCAGCTTGCTGTGCAGCCCCAGCGCCGCCACCGTGCCGAACACCCGGCCGCACAGCCCGCAGTGCAGCGGGGACGGGGAGGCCGTGCCTGGGGACGCTACGCCCGGCGAGGCCACCCCCGGTGACGTCACACCCAGCAGCGCGACGCCTGGCGACGCGACACCCGGCAGCGCTACACCCAGCGAGGTGACACCCAGCGACGCCACACCTGGTGACGTGACGCCCGGTGACGCTACACCCAGGGATGCCACACCAGGCGGCGCGACACCCGGCGACACCACACCCGGCGAGGCTACACCCGGTGATGCTAAACCCAGGGACGCTACGCCGGGTGACACCACGCCTGGTGGCACAACACTCAGAGAGGCTACACCTGGCGGCGCTGCGCCTGGCGACACCACACCCGGCAGCGCGACACCCGGCGATGCTACACCCAGGGACACAACACCCGGCAATGCAACACCCGGCGAGGTGACACCCAGCGAGGCTCCATTTGGTGGTGCGACACCCGGCGAGGTGACACCCAGCGAGGCTTCATTTGGTGGTGCGACACCTGGCGAGGTGACACCCAGCGAGGCTCCATTTGGTGGTGCAACACCCGGCGCTGT